GCGGTCACTTCTGGGCCCGAGACGGCCCTGCCGGCCCCGGAGGTCTCTTCTGGGCCCCAGTCAACACCGCCAGCCCCAGCAGCTGTTTCCGGTCCCAGATCAGCTCTGCCAGGCCCAACGGCCTCGCCTGGCCCAGCCCCGCAGGCCACTTTGGGCATTCCCAGCTCCCCGGCAGCGCTGCCAGCGCCTGAGGTCTTTTCTGGCCCCATGGTATCGCTGTCGACCGCTGCGGTCCCTCCTGGCCCCATGGCACCGCTGCCGGCCCCTGCGGTCCCTTCTGGCTCCATGTCACCTCTGCCGGCCCCTGCGGTCCCTTCTGGCCCCATGTCACCTCTGCTGGCCCCTGCGGTCCCTTCTGGCCCCTTGTCACCTCTGCCGGCCCCTGCGGTCCCTGTGGCACTGCTGCCGGCACCTGCGCTCATGGACCATTCCCTGTCTCCCTGGCCAGCCCCGTAGGGCTTCTGCTGGACAGTGCTGCCGGGCACTGCGGTCCCTGCTAGCCTACTGCCCACGCTGCCAGCCCCCACGATCACTCCTCAGCCTGCGACCACGCCGCCGGCCCCCCATCTCCCTCTCATGCCAGTGCTGTTGCCCCCGGCGGGCACTCCTAGCCCCGTGTCAGCACAGCCAACCCCGCAAGTCTCTCTTGGGCCAGCCTAGCCGGCCCCAGCAGTCTCTGCTGGGCCTCAGGCAGCCCCAGCAATTAGTTAAAGCCCCAGAACAAACTGGCCTCCCCAAGCCTGCCCTGCTGGGCCCCGGACAGTCACAGCAGCCGAAGCGGCCACTCATGGGCCCAGAACAGCCCCACCTGCCCAAGCGGCCCCTCATGGGCCCAGAGAAGCCCTGCCAGCCCCTGCGATCCCTTTTGGGTCCAAGCCAGCCTTGCAAACCCCAGCCGTTACTTCCTATCCCAGAGCGACCCTCACTTCTGGGGCAGCCAGGCCTGCCCCGCCGGCCTCTCCTGGGGTCTCTAAGCCAACCGAGGCGGTCCTTGTTGGATCTGGTGCCAGCCCGTCAGCCCCAGGTCTCGCTCCTGGCCCTGGGCCGTCCCTGCCATCCCCTGAGGTCACGGTGGACCCGATCCTCTGCCCCAGGTGTGGGCCGCCAGGCCCCATCAGTGAGCCCTGGAGCCTGATGCCCTCAGGTACCCTCTGGATGTTTGTCAGCTGCCCATGGGGTATGTGAGCGGGGCCCTGGGGACTGCTGGACTGGCCTGAGGCCTTCTTCAGACACGGCCTGGCTGATTGTCTTTGAAAACTGAGGCTTAGGCAGGGGCCAGAGTCCCTACTGTGGCACCAAGGCCTGTTGTGCCAGGAGGAAGGAGATGAACCTGGTGTCTTCCCACCACTTCACATGCCCTCCCCTACTGGTATCACGGTGTCCCCCAGCGTGTGCCGCTCTGTGATGTACACGACCTCGGGAGAGGGCACATAACTCTTAGTTCTGGAGCCTTCTGGGACCTCAGTGTCTCTCTGTGCCTCTAAATTGCCAACACTGTCTCTTCAATCTCTGAGTCTCCGTGCACATGTGCAGTTGTGTGTGCCTGTGTCTGTGTGTTGTGCAGGAAGGCATGCATGTGTGCCTGTGCATGGTGCATGCCTGGGCACATAAGATGGTGCCAGTTCAGACCTTGCTGGCCTTGGGCCTGTCTGGCTATTGTGCTGTCCCTACCCCAGCAGCACAGCCTGGTGGTGAGCTGGTCAACATGTAGGTCTGGCTTGGGCTCCTGGTCCCTTCCTCCTCTGCAGTTCGGTGATGGTGGTATCCACTTGAGGGTCCTTAGGCTGCAGGAGGATACAAAGGTGGTGACTCTTGGCCTGCCATCCCTACCACTCAGGGCTCTGCCTCCACCTCCTTGGGGGCACTGATGGGCCAGCTCTTGAGGTCTGCAGATTAGGGGAGCTACAGGGTGCGGGGCTCCAGGAAAGGCCTGGAAAGCCCTCTCCCACCCTTCTCTGCTCCCTGCATGGGGCAGTGTTCTGCCTGTTAGCTGCACTAAATCTGACAGACCTTGCACTACAGGGCTGCCCCTGAGGCCCCACCACCACCCCAGGCCCCAGTCTCAGGTCAGCCCTACTCAGGTCTCCAGAAGCTCTGGCAAGAATGGGCCCAGCAGGGGAACTAATGTTAGGAGGAGAAATGAGGACCTTCCTTCCAGATTGCTGCATTGGCCACCTGAGGGTCCCGGGGCTGTAAGAGGGCTGGAGGCTCCATCCAAGCCCCAGCCTGATGCTTCACAGGCACGGAGTCATCTGGATGCTTTACCACCTGTGTTCCAGCCTTGCATGGGGAAGAGGGAACAAGGATATCTCCCTCCCTTGTTTCAGGTCCTGGAAGGCTACTGATGCAGTCTTTCTCCCAGCTCTAGGCCACCTGATGCTCCTCGCTCAACCTGGCAGCTCTGAGCCCCTCCCACCCCAGTAGGCCCTTTCCTGGTGCTTACGTAGGGCTACTTTCCAAAAATTTGGGGGCTTATTTTTCTGGTTAAAATAAAAAATGCCACACCATTATTTTTTATAACAATATTAGTGTTTGTAATTTGAACAGACAAGCATGTGTCCGTGATTTATGCTGACAAGTGGTTTTACACATTTGGACTTAGCTCTAGTCATTAACTCCTGAGCAGAGGAAAAGGGAGAGCATTTTCTGGCCTGTTGTGCTCTGTGGGCTGTCCAGGGCGGGGCTTCTGGGAGACATTGGGATGGGGACATGGCCCAGGGGACCTAGGGTTCAGATCCCAGCCCCTGACCCTGGGCATGCCCAAACTAGACTGCACATGGGAGCGGTTTGGGGGAAATGCTCATCTCACTATATTTAAGCTCCATGTTCCCCCAGCAGCTGCCACTGCCCTTGGATGCTCCCACAGCTGCTCTGAGATGCCAAGGGCTGACAGTGGCCCCCTCAGAAAGACCACAGCCTTCCCCTCTACTTCCAGGGCCCTCCCCAAGAGTCTCCACTTGCACATGTCCTTGTGGGGCCGCTAAGCAGGGATGCAATGCAGTTCAGGCCTGTTTGGGCTTGCCATGTCATTGTGGGGGCCACACTGGGGAGAGGCCAGATGTGGTAGCTGGCTGAGTGGGGTTCCCTGGTTCTCATAGCCAGGGGCTGGATGGAGCCTGCTGGATGGACACTTGCTGAGGTGCTCACACAGCCTGGCCTTGACCCCAGTTTCCCCAGCCAGCCCCAATGGGCTATGTACCAAGTCCCAAGGCCTCATCCTTGGTTGGACATGGGAAATGCAGTTCCCGTGTGGCTGGCTTTATGATGTTTCTGAGCAGCTAGACTCCAGGTTTTCCTGTGGGTTTGGCAATTCTGAAGTGCTGGTAGCTAATTGTAGTGTTTATGTTCCACCTGGTGACCATAGGCCAGGGCTGTGTGTACTTGCTTGGGCTGGGGATGGGGGGCTTGCACCTGGGATGTAAGCTTGGGTATTACAGCTGCAGGGTATGGAGTTACTCTGGCCATCTGAGGGTGCTCCCTGGCTACAGACCCTTGAGAGACAGGAGAGATAGGTGCACATCCAGGTGGCCATTGGCTGCCAGCCTCTTCTGGAGCTTCCTGTGCCTGTCCAGCACTGCTGTGGGGCAAGGAACAAGCTGGGAGGCCAATGAGTGCCTGCTGAACCCTAGATAAGAAGGGTGAGCTTTGTAGTGTTCAGGGGGTCCAGGGTGGTTCCTAGAAAGTTCCCAGGCAGTTTATTGTGCCTGAGAGGAGGGGCTGACCCAACAGTGGGACTAGGTTGGTGCATCCTCCTGGCAGCCAGCCTGGTCCTTTCCTGGGGGCTGGGGGGGCATGCAAGTACACCTGCCCAGGCCTCAGGAGGTACAGGTGTCTCCAGCTTCACCTGGCTTCTGGTACACACGAGATAAGGTCCAAGTCCTGTCCCCTGTGGGAGGAAGCTGCCTGGGCCTTCTTGATTTGCTCCACAAATTTGATGTGGTCCAGTGTGCCACATCAGTACAGC